GCCAGGAACCTCCTGGAACGGTCCGACCTGGCTGACTGCTCCTCCCAGCAGATGTCCGGGTAATTTAGATCACCCATGACAACTACATCCCTTGTCTTAAGTGCCTCTGCAAGCTGGCCCGAAAATTCCTGGTCCAACTCCTCCCCTTGGTTGGGGGGTCTGTAGTAGACCCCCACCCTTAAATCCCTCTCCCCACAACCCCCTTGTATCTTGACCCAGAGCACTTCAGCTTGCCCCTCCTCCGATCCCATTTTGCTGGCAGAGGATGTGTATTGCTCTTTGACATAGAGCACCACACCTCCTCCCTTCCTTCCTTCTCTATCCCGCCTGTAGAGCCTATAACCCCTAATGCTAACTGCCCAGTCGTGGGATGAATCCCACCACGTTTCTGTAAGCCCTACTATGTCTGGGTTTGAACTGGCCTTTCTGAGGGCGAGTTCCTCCTGTTTGTTCCCCATACTCCGAGCATTGGTATACAGGCATTTAAGGCCTTGCATAGCTGTGAATGCCACCCCCCGATTAGGAAGACTATCCAGACCCCTGTTTCTTACCTGAGTACTCCCTGCATGTGTCATCTGTCTCGCTCGGGTGGTGTCTCCACATCTTCCTGCGGCCCCCTACCCCAGCGAGGCTAGTTTAAAGCTTGCTGTACGAGATCAGCCAACCTGAAAGAGAAGACACGCTTGCCTTTAGGAGAGAGGTGAAGCCCATCCCGCCCCAGCAAGTCCCCCGCCCAAAAGCATGGGTCATTATCTAGGAACCCAAGGCCCGCCTGGCGGCACCAACTCCGTAATCACCGGTTGACCTCGCCAATGCAGGCCTTGTGTTGCCGTCCCCGCCTACTCACCAGAAGAAGAGAGGAGAATACCACCTGTGCCCCCGTCTCCTTAAGCTTGGCCCCCAAAGCCTCAAAGTCCTTCATAATGCGGTTAGGGTTTCCCCTGGCCACGTCATTTGTTCCTACGATAGCTGACTTACTGCCTGAGTCACTTGAAAAAAGCACAAGAGAATATACCATAGGGAAGTGCCCAGCATGGCCAGAGACGTAGGGAGGATGACCTGCTAATGGTAGTTTGTTTTTGTTGTTTGCTTTTTTTTTTTCTTCACTAATTTCTGTGACACATCTAGGAGTAAAATGACAACAGAGCATTGGAATAAACTGTATGATATAATTGCCCCATGAACAATTCATGTGCAGCAGCACAGCAAGGAGACAATGATTTTGCAAATGCATGTGGGTGATCAAGTTTGTGTAAAATGAGCCAAGTTGCAGTTAGTCTGAACTGCATGATGATAGTGTGTTTTAGTAGATTCAGTATTGTGTTAACTCTTGTATGACTCTGATAGGATTAGAGTGTCTGTATTTTGTGAACAGCAAGTGAAGGAACTTGGAAGGAATGAGACTGACCAGTGGGGGGAGTTACTGCCACAGTGATTCTCTGAGAGATGCTGGGAGAGCTGGCATTGGAATTTTCCATAGAAGAGGTGTTTCCTAAAGATGTTTAACGCTGAGGGATGCTCCTTGTGATTATAAACTGTAGTATTTAAACTTGGAAACTAAGTAGTAATGCTTTATAAACATTTTAAAGGCTTTTATATAAGTCTGTGTTGAATTGTATTGTAAAACTCTAGCTTCTTACAGAGGTTTGACCCCTGCTTTGAGCCAAAGGGGATCATTTTCTAAGAGAATATTCAACAATACATAATGGTGTATTTTGAGTGCTTGGTTATGGGCTGCTGTTGCCTTCAGGTTAGTATGAAGTATAAGGAACCACCTTGGTTGGGTTGCATGTTTCATTAGACCCAGTGTGGAGAAGAATGCAGCTCCTACCAGGTTGCTGTATGCCCTATGAGGTACTGAGTGAGGATCTAGGCATAGTCTGGGATTTGATCTGCATATTGTTGCCAGCCCAATGATGCAGTCTGTGCTAGCAAAATGGGAGGGTTACAGTCTAGATATAAGGCTGACTGTCCATTTGTAGCATCTGACAAAGCTTATCGCCTACAGAAGCTCATTCCTCTCTGAACCAGTTAGTCTCTAAGGTGCTATTCTGGTGTACCTTCATCCTCAGTGCTTTTAAGAATGAAGATGGGTTTCAGGTGGATCTGTAGGGTCTCATCAGGTTTGTGCAGTTCATAACTAAAACTCTGTCCTTGTTTTGTGTTTGCCTACCCTGCTGATTCTGTCTGGAAGGTGAAAGTCTTTCAGGCTCTTGCATTACCAGTGAGAGAAACTCTGTGCTCAGTTGCACCTGTTCAAGTTGGTTTCCATCCAGTAACTGCCTGCATTGCTGGAAGAGGACTGAGTCACACAGACTGTTCTGCTTCATGAAGGTGTATGTGTTGATGAGGTGTGAGCTCACTGTCTGCTAGCTGTTTTGACTGCAGGAAAAGCCACAAAATTTTACTTTTGTTACTAAAGTCAGCAGAGGTCACTGAATATGTATGGAGAATGGATTTGCTGTATGAGGGCCTGCTTATACACAGATCTGCTTCAGAGCAGAACTGTCCTTTGAATATGGTTTATATGAAGCTTGCTGGGAGCAGACTTAGGGTCCTTTGCAGCGTTACAATTTCGTTAATCCAAAACAGATTCTTTTTATCTTCTGACATAGGTGACTCATAAGAGGAGCACAGGGGACACGTGCCCCCCCTGAGATTGGCCGCCTCTGGCTTCTGCAAGCAGTCGCCACTCACTACTGCCCCTCCCTTGCCGCCAGCACCGGTGTCTGCGGGTGGTCCCCGCTTGCTGCTGACACTGTCACCTACAAATGGTGCCCCCCAAGTCTCAGGAGGCACCAGTTGTTCATGTCTTCTGATATTTATAACATCCCTTTACATCTCAGGGGAGGGCAGGAGAAGTAAAGAAAAAGAAAAATGATTGAGGTAATTGTTCATCTCCATGCTTAAAAGCCCAAAGTATGCAGTAAATAGGAGCTTAATCATGTTATTAATTGCCCAATACTTATGCTGTAAATTGAGTTAGACTGCTCCTCGCCTGGGATTAGCTTGCAATTGTTTATAAGAATTCAGGTTTCTCTGAAGTGGCTCTGCTTCTCTCCTGCTGTGCTTTGTTGAGCTGAATGCGACTGGGAAACTATATATAGAGTTACTGTATAATTTTGCAGTGCAGATTAACACACTGGAAATGGGGTGAGTGTAGGGCCCTAGAGAAGCTGTTGAGAGAAGTGTAATAAACAGTAAGGTCCTGGAGGGTGGATGTTAATACGCTTGCCTAATGTTATGGTCAATTTGTTTGCACTGCAAAATAATCCTCTCCTTTGCACCCTAAAAGGAAAGCAGGCACTCAGTTCCATTTGTCAGTTTAAGTGTGTCTCATAGCTTTTAATTAGAGAGAAGGTTTTTACTTCTGGAAATTGTAAAGATCTTTTAGGATTTACGCTACAATCAGTTACAGAGGTAAAATTGGTCTCTTTCCTCCTTCTCTCCACAGAGCATGAGAGGATGAAAAGGACACAGAGACACTATTCTTGATTTCTAATAAAAGGCTCAGAAGAAATTATTACTTGGGGGGTGAAAGGAGGAACAATTTCCACTGAGGATCTGTCCAAAATAATGACATCAGACTGACTGCAAAGACCACTATGAGTCAATAGAAATTAAAACGATTGCTTTTGCTTTACACTTCTGCCAGTATAGACCAGTGGGAGGTTGCAGCTGTATACCGGGTTAGCAGTATTGCCTTCTCCAATGGACCTAGAGGCAGTCAGTACACCTCTAAAGTTTGATAAGTGGAGTGTGGACAAGCTGACTGAGGATGCTCTGGCTTGGTGCATACCCATTACAGCCTCTACAGCCAGGGTTCGTAGAGATGCCTAGGTGCAGAACCATGTGCCCTGCTCAGGGGCAGTATACCCTTTCTCCATGTGGTACAGCCATCTTTCTAATAGAACAAGGTGCAGTGTATCCACCTGGCCTCTGAGGGCAGTGAGTCTTGCCCTTACAATAGTAGTCATGTTAAGGGACTGTTTCCCTTGCTACAATCTCTCAGCAGTAGCCCCTTTTCTGTTTTGCCTGCCTTAAGGTAAAGTGGCAAATGCTGCATTGTAGACCACCAAGCTCTTTCAGCAAAAGATCAGTATTTAGTTGTACAAACCAGACAGCTGTGTCATAGCTTGTGTATACCCCCTATGTCTCCCAAGAACCTACTGTCCTTCTCCACTCTGGGCCTGAATCCTGGTTCCTTGCTGTCCATTTGCACCCTTGCGCAGTAGCCACAAAGTACTTTACGAGGCTGGCTCTGTGCTCACCCTCCTGGGAAGCATGGGAAGTAACTGTGGAGTTCTTAAGGGCCCTGCTATTATGCCACTGTAAAAGGTCATGAGACATTGCAGCAGGATTGAAAAAAAGGTCCTAGGTTGATGTATTGCTGTTTTTGTAGTGAAAAATTAGAAGCAAGGAAACCTTATATCCACAAAGTGAGAACTGATTCTTTCATATGCTGTATCTCTAGCTAACCATTCTAGGGTTAGACAATAACTCTAGAGTTTTCTTTTCACTCATGTTCCTGGAAGGAATATTTGTCTCTCTGTAAATATGTTATAAGTTATAACCTGGGTGGTTTGTTAGAGTTGCTGCTTTTCCCCTCCACTCTCCTGTAATCCCTATGGACAGAACAAAATGTAAATATTCTGGTAGTAACTGGGTGCATTCTGTGCACAGATACTTTCCTCTGTAAAGTTCACGTGCCCTTTTTTGACTTGCTGTTTTGCTGCAGATTTGGCTGACTGCAAGTTGATGACCTTTCCAGTCGGCATTTACAAAGTCATGAGGAACGTCGCTGAAGAGATACATCTCATAACTCTGGCCAATAACGAACTGAAGTCTCTGACTGGCAAGTTTATCATCACTTTCAACCAGCTACAAGGTAGGAGTGAGTCCCTGGAGTAACCATGCGAAGAGGGAGATTGGGGTCGTCTTGTGACTGTTTTTGACATACCCACAGCTGGTTTTGTGGTCGGTGCACTTAAGTATTGGGATACACTGTTCCAAACTGGCTGAGGTAGAACACAGTTTTTCTTATCATGCTGTTCTCCATGCTGTGTTATTGAAAACTGTTCTTTCTGACAAGAAATTTGACCTCCAGCTGTCCCTCTCATCAGACACAATTTTGTGGGCTGAATTCCAATTCATTTAAAGTCGTTTTACACTCTGACTTGAGTGGAGTGTAACTCCTAATATACACTAGTGTAAGTGAAATTAGAGTCGGGTCTTAAACACAGATGCTGTAGCACAATACAATACTATAGATACTGTACTGTACATCAGAACTGAAGTGCTGTACATCAGAATCCACTGCCACAGGCTTGTGAAAGTAGGATATATTATAGATCAGGAGTGAGGTTTTAGGGTATATTATAGATCAGGAATGAGGTTTGCTGACAGCTACAGAAATTTGCAACCAGAACATACCTAGCATTTGTTAGTCAGCTTAAATTCATATCCTTTTTTGATGTGGTATTTAACATTTAGGGCAACAACACAGCAGAACTGTAGCAAAAATATTTTTCTCCTAATTTGATTCTCCCATAACCTACACTTCTTTTAGCAGTAAGAAACTGTATATTCAAAACTTGCTTTCCTTTTCTTGAGAGCATGGATCATTTCACCGCTCTTTTTTTAAAGCATTTACCTTTCATTATGCTGTGAAAAATGAAGCAGAGTGCCTTTGGAGGCTCTGCCACTTAGAACTGAAAACTAGATCTGAGTTTCTTGCAACTTACTGATAAAGGGCCTGATCCAAAGCCGATAGAAATCAAAGGTATATGCTTTTTGGATCAGACCATGATGGAGGTTGTCTCCTACCTGCAGAGACTGCAAATTCTCCTTCCGATGCGTCTCAAAGCCACTTTCTGCCAGCTGTCTTCCCTCTGCAAATAGACTTTCCTTTGCAGATTGAATGTCTCTGATGCAGGGTTTTTTTGTTTTTTTGGGGTTTTTTTGGGGGGGTGGGGGGGTCACCATTTACTCCTCTGCCATCTGTTTAACCTGTCCTTTCTACAGGCCACACCATGGTCTCTCTTCTCTTTGATGTTAGGCTCAATTATCTCTTTGCAATCTCAACCCCTTGTTCATTTTACACAACAACTTTTAAACTGGTATGTAGCCAGCTCATGCCTTGGTTGATGCTAAATATACTTTGTACCCGAATACAGCATGGTCAGGAGCAGAGGAAGCTAACTTGGTGACACAGTTAGATGGCTGATCCTTTGCATGTTTTGGCAGTAAGTTCTGTGCCAATCTGGGTATGCGTACCTTTTCACTGATGCCAGTTTTGATTTTGTTATCATCTATCTGCTCAGATGACTATGAATAAGATGTTCCAGTTATAGCATCAATAACCTAGATATATTCCATGCCTCTTTCTCAGCCAGCCCAATCTCAGCTGCCCCAATTTCAAGTTTTATTTCACAGCTCTTTGCCCTTGATGATGATTCAGTTATATAATGGGACTCTTACTCTAGTTGGGTGCCCACTGCTGTCCCTTTTTTCCTTTCTTCCTTCTGAATATTGTGTGTGGGGTTACATTTCCTTTACTAACTGAAAATTAAAAGAACAAGGTAGCACTGGTCACCAGGTACAGATGGTGTAAAAATCATCTTTCATTACTGGTCAGAGAAAAAACGTCCGAGTTTTTCCTGCATTTCTGGAAAAGGACTTTTTCTAGATTCACACAGGTAAAAATATTGTGTGAAATAATATTATATAACTACACAATGTCAGTAGAGATGCTTCTCTTCAAATCTCTTCTGTCCAGTAACCTCTAAGCATGTGGGAAACGCTTCCTGAAGAGATACATTTTCATTCTCAAATCCTGTTAGCCAGTCTTTCCAATTATATCCACATGAAAACTTTTAGTCATGGGTGTCTGTAATGCAACATAAGTAACTAACAATGTACAGCTCCTACTTCATAAGATTAATATGGCCCCGATTCAGCAATGCAAGTAAGTATATGCTCAACTGCTTTACTGAATCAGGACATGCATGAATAAAAGATCTAGAAACACAAAATGAAGCAACCAGAACATGAGCCATTTTGTCAGTTATCTGTTGTCTTTTGGTGCACAAATTGTCAGTCTTGGTTTTCTGTTTAATAACCTTAATAGCAATAGAAATCATTGCAACTTTCTCACCTAAACCACATGTCCCAGACATTCATTCTAATGATAGCTTTAAATATACATGACATCTGCCTCAATGTCTAAGAGCACTGTTTTACCCTTTCCCCTTTTTTCAGCTTGCAGTTCAAGTGTGGGGCTAACTGGTTTTAGAATGAAGGCAATTAGGGGTTTAATGGAACAGGGTGGTTGCCATTGGAGAGTTCCAGCCATACAGAAGGTGAAAATATTCTTTACCCTTAATTTCTGTAATGTACTGGGTTGCGGGCAGTAGGAGCTGTTGGGACTTGCTGAGGAAAATTGCTGTAGGTAGGAAATAACAAACCAACTTTTCAATAGAGGACACAGGGGTACGTACAGAAGAAAGGGAAATCAGATAGGCATCACATTGTTTTGTATGAGCAACTCAATTTTCAAAGAAGGTTCATAAAATTCAGCTGTATTCACAGGACCATACTACATAAAACAGATAAAGACTTAGTGCTGACCTATCACCTGCTTCCCTTGTTTATCTTGAGCTAAAGGAACTCAATATTACAGTTTAATTTGCAGTCCCCTCCATATCGGACAGGCTTTACAGCAAAGTGTTCCAGGCTTCACAGCATCTAGAGGTAGATCACATCCTTGCTCTGAGTCTGGGCTTAGGAGCAGCCTTAGAGAAGAACTCTGCAAAATGTTCTCCCTCCAAGTGACAAATTGAAAATCTGTCTTTATAGCAAAGGGTCTTTCGTTTTAACAACTGTTTCTTCATGTCATCTTTTTCTCAGCCTTGCTAAGCTAAAAAAAATTGTCTTTCTTAGGAGGGGTTGAAGGACAGCACGTCTCTTCCTATCCACCCCAGTAATGGCAGCAGCTGGGGGTAGGAACTCTGCTCTGAGCTGGTATAGGAGAAAAGCACTATACTGAGGTGGCTGAGCAAGTCACAGTGGGAAGCAAGGTGTGAAATGATTCAAGACCTTTTCACTTGGAAATTAATTTACCTCTTCTCTTCAGCCTGCAGCGGCCCAACGACATGCCATGTCTTAGTTGGTGAAATATACAGAATATGTGACTGCATACACAGTCCTTTCAGTCTTCTTGGTTGAGGACTCTTCCCCCTTCAAAAGCCCCTCTTGGGGACTACCAAAGGATGCTTGTAGGAAGCTCTTAAATGGACAGTACCAGGTTGGAAACTCTCATGAGTGAGTCTGACTTGCATGTCTCCTAAGGAGGAGAAATTTTGAGGCTTTCAGAAAAATGGCTCAGATAATTCATTTCACAAATGTTGATGTTTTAGTGTTTTGCAGAGAGAGGACAGAAGCCTCTTGATGATCATATTTGCATTTACCTCTCGCTGGAAAACCAAAAGCAGGTATTGTATGAGGAAGAGATGCTCAGAAGTAGGGGTTGTCATCCATTTATCTCAGAAGCAAACTAAAAGGCCTCCTTTGTGCCCCTTCCCAGCCCCTGAAAATAAAGATGGTAAAGAAGGTTGTAATGAAGGACTGTGCTCTCATGATTATAGTCATCTTCACATTTTCCCTCAAACCTTGGTTCTTAGACTCTAGTTCAGTGTAACTGGAAATTTCTCTCAAACTCTGACACTTGCACATGCAGCATGGTACAACAGCAACCTGTACTGAACCAGTGGCCAGTGCTGCCTAATGCATTATCTGGGAAGCTGGGAGGAAGGGATGATGGCCATTTATTCTTAGAAGGTGACAAATGCCCTCCTACTATCACAGAGGACATTCACAGATAATATCTGTGGTTCACTTGAGGGTTAGCTAAGGGTGTTACACTGTTATTGTAACACTGCTTCACAAAAGATCCATGTCAGTGTAAAGTCAGCTGAAGCAAAGGATATTCAGGTGGTAGTGCAATTATGAGTTGACCTTAAAATAGGAAACAAAGCCAACTCCTTTTTTATGGATCAGTTAGCAAATTCAGGCAGGTTTCACTGCAAGAAAGCCATAAAATCCCTCATCGTTGCTGCCTAAAAGTGCTCGGGATCACCACTCTTCCCAGTTCTCTGTCCGTGTACAGGTACCTTTCATGACCTGGATCTGTGGACTGTGAATCCTGATAAAAACAACTCTCACCTTTTTAATTAACTCTCACTCTTCTTTTTTCTGAAAGTGGCTTGCCTACATGTTAACTCTTTGCAAGGGGTTTTGGAGCATGGTGTGCTATTGTTGAAACC